CCAAATTGTCTTTGAAGCAATCATAATTGTTCTACTCCACCTCAACTTGACACGAATCGAACTTCAATTTGTTTAACAAAAGAATGATAATTGAACATGTTGAGGACACTATCCAGAGACCTGCGACTATTAAGAACTAGAGTTATCACGAATCGGAACCAGGTTCTCTTGCTTTTGATAATCATAAAGATATGAAGTTCTTCTCACATAACTCCATTGTATTGCTGTTTTGATGACTTATATCAACCAATTACACGCATGAAAGGTGTCTGAATGTGCATTGGCCATCCAATCAAAAGATATGTAGCTTATGGTAATTTGTTGTCACCTTACATGGATTTTGTGATAATATTTATAATGTGCAGGTTCTCAACTATATCTAAGAGGCTTTAAAAGTTTCATAATGAAAACAAGCAGTTGAGAAAGAAATTCAGGATCTTTAAAATAATAACACATGGGCACTTACGGAGTTAACTCATCAAAAAATTCTTGTAGGCTGCAAATGATATTCACGGTCAAGCACAAATTAGATGGAATTGTAGCCAAGGGATTGATGGAGTTATAAGGGTTTGACTACCCAAAAATCTTTATGCCTGTTGCCAAACTTAATATTGTTGGAATTGTATCTCTTAAATTAAGATTGTCATTTATACCAACTTGATGTCAAAAAAGCCTATTTGAATGGATGTCTTGACGAAGAAGTCTTATATGATTACTATACCTCTAAGCTTGGAAAATTTGTCGAACAACAGGTTGGTTTGTTAAAGAAATCTTATATGGTTTAAAGTAATCGAATCGTACTTGGTTTGACAAGTTTGCTAAAACTGTGATTACAAACAAATATCATTAGTGTCAAGTTGATCATACATAGTTTGTTAAATTCAATTCTAAAGACAATTTTTATTCGCATTATATATGTTGATGATATTATGTTGACATGTGATGATTCAGAGGAGATTATTAGACTAAAAAAGATTTTGAGGTCAAGGATCTTGAGACTCTTCGATGCTTTTTAGGAATCGGTTTAAGGAGAAAATTATCATATCCTAAATAAAGTACGTCTTATACTTGTTAAGTGAAACTAGCATGTTTTGGTGTATGCACCCATGAATCCAAAAAAAAATGTTGTCAAAAGTGATGAAAAAGGTTCACAAAGGAAGATGTCAAATCTTTGTGGGCAAGCTCATTTAACTGTCACACACAAGACCTGATATTGCATACTCATTCAATTTAGTAAGCCAACTCATGATCAATTCACCTAAGGATTATTCAAAAGCAGTGAATAGAATTTTGAGATATTTGAAGCTGATTCTTGGATATGATTTTCTCTTCAAAATGCTTGAAAATCATGAGATTGATATATACATATATGCTAACTGGGCAGGAGAGGTAACTGATAGGAAATTGACCACTGGGTATCATTCATATGCCTGGAGCAATCTCGCACTTGGAGAATCAAAAAACAAACTGTTGTCTCTCGGAATAGTGCAAAAATTGAATATCTTGCTTAGGGAGTGTGACTTCAAAGGCTATTAAGATAATTTAAAGTTGATACAAAGGACATAATTAAGATATTCAGTGATAGCCAAGCTGATAAAAGTATAGCCAAAAATCTTATGCACCATGACATGACAAAACACGTCAGTATTGATTGATACTTCATCTAAAAAAAAAAGGTTAACAACTAGATTATACATAAGTTTTGTTCCAATGAGACTTTTGATTGTTGATATTTTCATCAAAGCGCTATTGAGGGTCAACTATGATAAGTTGAATTTCATGCTTGGTTTGTAAAATATTTACAACTCAACTTAAGGGTGAGTGTAGAAAGTAGCCAAAAATTTTATGCACCATGACATGACAAAACACGTCAGATTGATACTTCATGTAAAAAAAAGGTTAACAACAAGATTATACATAAGTTTTGTTCCAATGAAACTTCTGATTGTTGATATTTTCATCAAAGCGCTATTGAGGGTCAACTATGATAAGTTGAATTTCTTGCTTGGTTTGTAAAATATTTACAACTCAACTTAAGGGTGAGTGTAGAAAGTAGCCAACCAGTGTGCTCGGTTAGGAAGAATTTCATTTCTTTTACTCATAATATTTCAATATCTATTTTTTTTCTTTATTCGATATTTCTTATTTCCATGTTTTCCAATTTTGATGGGACTCTTAATTGAAAGAGATTTTAATTTTGTATTTTTTGAACTGATATATATATTACGGTGCAAGTTATTATTGTGTGGAATACAAATTTTTCTCAAATTTCGTCAACTTTTTTTTATGCTTCCTAAATTGGTACAAGAAAAATGTGAAGGAAAAAAAAACTTGAAAGCCTTAAATCAAAGAAGACAAACATAATGACGCCACATATCGCTTCAAGACAATTTATTTAAAGTTACCTTCATTCCAAACACATCCTTTTGAGTTTTGACTTTGTGAGTTTCATATAATATTCAATGTTTCATTTTTTATTTAAAAAATATATCAAATTTGATATGTTGCAATTCATTTTTGAATGGAAACATTTCAACATGTATGCAATAAAATTATTTGTGCTTATATTTTTTATTCAAAATTTTATTTGACCGTCATTTAAAGCCTATCACTCAGCTCTTATGCAAATAAGATTTTATCGTAGGTAATGCTTTTTTTTTTAATATTTTATGCCAAACATATATTTAACATATCTAGTATATTTTGAAGAATTTCCTAGCATAGATTTATTATTTTTATATTAAATTTTAACTAAAAAGATAAAGTTTCCAATGCTGATCCCAAGCTCGATTGAAAGTAAACTTAAAGTATTTTTTAAAGAAGTAATTTATGCGATCCATTGAAGAAGGTTTAAGTCCCCATTAAATGAGTGCTTAGAATGAATCACATCGACATAAGATAGGGAAGTTGTCATATTAAAGGAATTGCATTCTTAAACAAGATTCTTCTTATGCATACAAACACACATGAGAGCATCTTTTACGTTTTGTTGAGACATTTGTTGGGCTATCCTCATTACCTCATTCTTGTCATTCTTTGCAGTCATCATATATTGATTCATAGGTCCATTTGACTCACTGTTGGATATTTGAGACAAAGAAGAGGAAAATTAGCCGCAAGACCCACTGCTATAGTAGGAGCTATTATCAACTCTCTTAATAAATTGTCGTTGTGTTAAATACTTTGACATGGCTTTGTTATTTGTATAAGTGCCAAATTCTTGTTTCATTTATTCATATATTTCGGCCATTGTGTTAAATACTTTGGCATAGCCTCTTTATACGTATAAGCGCTAATCTCTTGTTTTAGCTCTTGAAACACTTTGGTACATGATATAACATTCTTAATAGAATCATAATGATGTTTTTTCATTCTTACAACACCATCTTTAACCATTTTATTACAAATAAATTTGAGTTTTCTCACTTCCTCATATTTGCACTCGGACACTATACTTATACGCCATATCTTTTTTGCCCCATTAAACTAATTTTATAACCTTTGACCATTTAAAAACAAGCTTAAACTGAAAACCTCAATCAGAACAGAGGAAACCTTATCCAAAATTGAAACTCGGAAATGCAAATGATTAAAAGAAAATAAACACTAGAAAAAAACATTAAATGACACAAAAATATATTGAGATGGGCTGCTCGAAATAACTGGAGAGGCAATGATGGAGCAGTAGCGGCAGTTATAATTTTGAGAGTTCATGTGTGATTTCAAGTTATCTGGCTTTATGATTCCTATCGCTTTCTCAATTTGATTTTGGTAAACAACTAACAAAATAACTAATAATTTTACTTTTATACATTGGATTTATAAATTAGAAATTTCAAATAATTTAACCTCTAAGTTTTTAAGCTTATACCTCAAAATTGTGTTGAGGTGCGCCTCATCCCGTCTGAGGCCTTAACCACATTTGGCAAACTTGAAGCATGTGCCTTATTTTATACCTTCTCAAATTTGTGTTGATGCATGCCTTTAAAATAGTAATTTTAAAGTTTGACCTCTTGATGGCTTGTTGGTCATTCAATTTCACAAGTATTCTTAACTGTTATGTATTTTTTCATCACTTCATTTTCTATATATATATTTTTCTCACATTGGTAAAAAATGTTGTTATTTAAAGTACTATTATATTTGTATAATTTTTACACATTGTGGTTTAAAAATAGCTAGTTGAATTACTATTATACACGTATAATATGTGCATATATGATATACAAGTATATGATATACAAGTCATGAACCATATATGATATACAAGTCATGAATGATCTAGTTTGCAAAACCATGCTTTGCATTGTGCTTTGCAAATTGAAACAGTAAGGATTCTTCATGCATTTCATCGTGATTAGCAATTTAAAAGCACTTTTATCAATCGTTTTATCGCAAAGAGTGAGTTATAGTAATTGAGAGTACATGCACTTAACTGCTCGTTAGCAAAATATGATAAAAAAAGGATGCATCAAAATCTTGCAAATAAATTATAAGAGGTGATTTTAATAGTAGGAGCAGCACAGAGCAAGGACAACGGGACATATAGGAAACATAACAAGCAGATGTATGCCATTGTTTGGATGCATTGCAGCTGCCTTCAACAGTACCTTATAGCAAACACAACATGTATATAACAAGCAGACACTCCCACTTTTATACCAAATCAATCAAAGAAACAAAAGAGAAAAATAGAATTATTAGTCATCATAAAGCCTCCATATCTTATGGAAGAAGATTGAGAAGTCCAAAGTCTCAATTTTAACTCTAGGTGAAGCAGCGCTGGAGATATCCAAATTCAGTTGTAGTAATTGATTTAAAATGAGAACTAGTCCTAAAAAAATTGCATATTTAACTCTAGCAGAATTTGCATACCCTGAAAAAATAAGAAGAGATCTTCCTAAAATTCACCAAGCTGTATCATCAATGAATGAAAGTCATCCTTTCTGGTCACTTATTTTTAGAGAATTCAAGAGCTAACACCTTTTCCTATTTGACAGGTTGTTGTCATTTCAGGTGAGACAGGCTGCGGTAAGACAACACAACTACCTCAGTATGTTCTAGAATCTGAGATTGCTAATGCTCGAGGCGCGACATGTAGTATCATTTGCACTCAGCCTAGACGTATATCTGCCATGGCTGTAGCTGAAAGAGTTGCAGCAGAACGAGGGGAAAATTTGGGTGAATCTGTAGGCTGTTCATTTTCTAGAGTTCTTACAGCTTTCATTTCTCCACCATGTTATTGCCTGAAATTTACACACACACACACACACACATGCAGTCATTAATATGCAATTTTTTCAGGTTGGTTATAAGGTTCGGCTAGAAGGTATTAAGGGGAGGGATACTCGCCTTCTTTTCTGTACGACAGGAATTTTGTTGAGGAGATTGCTTGTTGACCGAAATTTGAAAGGTGTTACGCATGTGTTTGTAGATGAGATTCATGAACGTGGAATGAATGAAGGTAGACTGTTGATTGTACATATTGTATGTGGAAATTTTGACATTAAATTTTGCTTTATCTTGATGCTAGATTTTCTTCTTGTCGTCCTGAAAGACCTACTGCCTCGTAGACCAGAGCTCAAGTTGATTTTGATGAGTGCTACTCTGAATGCTGAGCTTTTTTCTTCATATTTTTCTGGGTCGCCCATGATGCATATACCTGTAAGTTAGCTTCGTTTGAATAATTCAGCTTCAACCATCATTATATCTATAGCATTTGCTTCATTTTGTACTGAAACGATGCAGTGTATTATTAGTTGGACAGTTTTTCTTCTTGTTTATGTATTTAATTTTATTGTCATGTTGGTCTTTTCTTCAACAGATTTTCTCAGTTTCAATACTTATATTCTTTTGTAGCTTTTATTGATTTTGTATTGTACAGTGCAGAACCATGCGATTTATTTCATTTTATTGATTTTGGGGTTGAAATGCTTAATCAAGCACCAATCACTGGAAGAATAATTTTGTTTCAATTTCTAGATAACATTGTTTGCTGTTGATTTTATTGTTATCTTTTAAAACATAAGTTAGTCAAATTATATATTATTTTGAGGTGGATGTTTGTTTTCAGTATGAATTAAATTGAAAAATAGTCTTCTAATTATTCATGCGTTTCAAATTCAATTTTAGAGTATCACTTTTTTCAATCGTTTGCTCTTAATTTTGCCACATAATTACTTTGCATTCTTATTTTTTCTCATAGTCAACTTTGTTATCTGTGGCTTTTTTCACTACTCAGCAGTCAGATAACATGGCCAACCTACTTGAATTTTCATAAAATTTAATTTACAAGTTTCTTAATTTTCTCTTATTGCATAATGCTTTCAAGAGACTTGCTCTTAGCTATCTAGTCGCAAAGTTTGAAATTGTATCCTTATTTATATCTCCATTCATTTGAATAATAATTCTAAGGCATTTAAACCTTCATTAAAAAAATATAGTTGGTATTGTTTTTATTCTTCTATAATTTGCACACTCTTGTGCATCCCCTTTATTTTTAAAAATGGGGACCAAAATACTCTTCCTCCACTCCTCAAACATCTTTTTAGTTTTAAAAATAATATTAAAGAGTTTTGTAAGCAAGAAACTCCCAAATCTAAACATTTCCATATTTCAATTGCGATATTATCAGTTCCTACAGGCTTTTCACCCTTTTTTTTTAAAGTCTCCTCAACTTTCTTTTTTACTAATGCGGCGGTAAAAATAAAACGTTTTATTGTTAATATGATATTAAGATCACTAAGGTCGATTTTATATTCAGAAACTTCATTAAAAAGTTTATCAAAATAACTCACCCACCTATTCACCCACCTATGTTGAATATCTATGTTGAATATCTTTTTTAAGAAAAACACATTTTGATTTTCATCTTTAATACATTTTGCTTGAGTTAAATCTTTACTTTTCTTTTATCTCTGTTTGGCTAGTTCAACATATATTTTTTACCCTCTTTAGTATCCAATCTATGATAAAGATCATTAAAAACAAAATTTTTAGCGTCACATATTGTTCTTTTATACTTCATGCGGGTCTGTTTGATATTTTTCCCAATCCTCTAAGCTTTTACATTTAAACCAATTTTTATAACATAACTTCTTATATTTTATCTTTTCTTGCACATTATTATTCCACCACCAACTATTTTTATTTAAAGGAATTTTTTCTTTTGATTCTCCAAGTACATCTTTTGCTATTTGTTTAATAGTGTTTGCTACTTTATCGCACATAGCATTTGCTTCATCTTGAACATCCCAAATTTTGAAATCTTGAATTTTGATCATAAAAATAATTTTATTTGAGTTTTTTAGGTTCCGTCATCTAATTCTATTATGATGATTCATAGTATTCTTTATTTTACAACTCTTCATCTTAAAATCCAGAACTAAGAGACGATGTTGGGTACTTAAATCCTCACTTGGAATGACCTTACAATCTTTACAATCTCGATGATCTCTTCTTCTCATAAGAAAATAATCAATTTGTGTTTTTAGTCAATTTGTGTTTTATTAGATCCATTCTTATAAGTAATAAGATGCTCATCTCTTTTCTTGAATAAAATATTAGTAATAACAAAATCGTACGCTAAAGAAAAATTTAAAATAGTTTTACCTTCTTCATTAGTCACCCCAAAACCGTATCCACCATGTATATTTCTAAAATTTTCTACCAATATTTCTAGTATATTTCTAAAATTTTCTACCACTCTACCGACATGTCCATTTAAATCTCCTCCAATAAAAATTCTTTCTTCAAGAGGTATCATTTATATTAAGTCTTCTAAGTCATTCCATCATTCATCTTTAGACCCTATATCTAAACCTACTTGAGGAGCGTAAGCACTTGTAATATTAAAAATCTTAGTATCAATGATAATCTTAAGAGCTATAATTCTATCTTCAACTCTATTAATTTTTACAACATTATCTTTCATTCTCTTATCTATAATTACACCTACGCCATTTCTAGTGCGACTCTTACCAGAATACTAAAGATTTATGGGAGAGGGTAATTGAACATATGTTAAGACGTATTACAAAGATTTCTCATAATCAATTTGGATTTATGTCGGGCAGGTCTACGATGGAAGCTATACATTTATTGAGAAGTTTGATGGAGAAGTTCAAAGATAATATGAAAAATCTACATTTGATTTTTATTGATTTAGAAAAGCTTACGATAAGGTTCCAGGAGCTATCCTTTGGAGAGTTCTTGAGAAGAAAGTTGTTGGTATGACTTATATTCAAGTCATTAAAGATATGTATACTATAGTTGTTACTTGTGTTCGAATTGAAGGAGGATTGACCAAATATTTTCCTATTCATGTTGGATTACATCAGGGATCGGCTTTAATCCCTTATCTTTTTGCTTTAGTTATGGATGGTTTTACTAGACATTTACAGGAGGATGTACCTTGGTGTATGTTTTTTGCTGATGATATCCTTCTCGTGGATAAGACGAGAGAAAAAACCCAGGAAAAATTTGACTTATGGAGGTTTACATTGGAGTCTAAAGGTCTTCATTTGAGTAGAACGAAAATTGAATACATGGAATGTAATTTTAGTAGTAGTAGCTCTAGTGACAGCAGTGTAACTTTGGGTGATCAAATTATTAAAAGGTGTGACGATTTAGATATCACGGGTCTGTTGTTCAAAGCAATGGTGATATAGAAGGGGATGTTAATTGCAGAATTCAAGTTGGTTGGTTGAAGTGGAGGAATGCTTCGGGCCTTTTGTGTGATACAAAAGTACCTCTTAGACTGGAAGAAAAATTTTATAAGACGGTGGGGAGATCTACAATGCTCTTTGGCACTGAATGTTGGCCTTTAAAGGAGAAGCATAATACTAAGTTAAGTGTTGCCGAGATGAGAATGATTAGGTGGATGAGTGGCTTTACACTTAGAGACAAAATGCGAAATGATTATATCCGTGATAGGGTTGGTGTAGCTCCTGTGACGGACAAAGTTAGAGAAAGTCGTTTTAGATGGTTTGGTCGCATTAAGCGTCGACCATCTGATGATCCGATTAGGAGAGTAGATGTTTTAGGTTCAACTTATGTTAAGAAAGGTAGAGGTAGACCTAGGAAGACTTGGGCTTATTGTATAAAAAAATTATCTTATATTATTAGAACTAAATGAAAATACGACACTAAATAGAACGCAATGGAGAAAAAAGATTCATTTAGCCGACCCATGTATTAGGATTAATGCTTTGTTGTTGTTGTTGTATTGCTTTTTATTCTAGTAAAATTAATTGATAATATTTACTGTAGCATCAGATGAAAAGGTTGCACGTTGATTTTTGCTTTGACAAGCACTTTCCAATATTCAAGAATTAAATTTCTATACCAAGTGTTCTGATGTTTGTTGTGGGGAGCTTTCATGTCCTAGTTGTGATCTTTTGCACATGTAGAATATTTATTTTGCTGTACTGTATACTGCTGAGCAGCACTCATTGTTCCTTATATTGCAGGGTTTTACATATCCTGTTCGGACTCACTTTTTAGAGAATGTTCTAGAAGTTATTGGACACAGGCTGACTCCGTACAATCAAATTGATGACTATGGACAAGACAAAAGTTGGAAAATGCAGAAGCAGGCTCTTAGGAAAAGGAAGAGCCAAATTGCTTCTGCTGTTGAAGTAATTTGTTTTCCTTTCCCATTTATGATGTACGATGATTGGAATTAGCTCCTCAAAACTATGCCTTGTTGCTTTATTCTAATAAACAGGATGCTCTTGAAGCTGCTGATTTTCGAGATTATAGCTCTAGAACTCGTGAGTCACTAGCCTGCTGGAACCCTGATTCTATTGGTTTCAATCTCATAGAGAGTGTCCTAGTCCATATATGTCAAAAGGAAAGGCCAGGTGCTATTCTGGTTTTCATGACTGGTTGGGATGATATTAATTCACTTAAAGAACAGCTTCAATCTCATCCACTACTTGGAGATCCTAGCAAAGTTTTAATTCTCCCATGCCATGGGTCCATGGCTAGCTCTGAACAGGTAAACTTTATTTCCTTGTCAGAAATGTAGTAGTCGTAGATTTTTAGGTTTTATCCTCCTCATGCCCATGCTAATTCTCAGTGCTTTATTCTGCTTTCCTGTTTTCGTATATTCTGGAATATGCTTTTGTATATTCCTGGTAGAGGTCCCCGAGCTTTCCATGATCTTACTCAAATATGCTTTTGTATATTCTGGAATTTTTGGTGTAGTAGATGCAACGTATGCAAGTGTTATATGGGTTTTGTAAAGTTTAATTTTTAAATAATCCGTGAATTTAATTGCTACAGATATTCTTATAAATGTGAGCACATTAATGGGTGTGCTTTAAAAGTATGTTTGCTAGGAACATGGTAGTCTTAGTAATTTTAAAATTCTCGTACATTCTGTGTTGCTCAGTCAATAGAAGTTCATGCACACTGAATATCCATTTTAAGTGTACCTAGCATTAGATTCATCTTTTAACAGAGTTGACAACCAACGAATGCCATAAATTTCTTCTCTTTAGTCATATTTGCATTACCTTTTTGTTAGTCTGTAGATAACCATCAGATTGTGGAACCTGTGCTTGTTCTTTGTTTTAAGGGACTTACATGGTCCAGGTCACAATGTTCCTAATGTTCTTTTCTAAAGTCATATAGATTATTTTATGCAGTCTTTCAAATCAAATAATTATTGAATTAATTGTCATTTGACTCTACATGTTGAATGCACAACATTGCCGGACCAACTAAAACATGGATCATATTCTCTTTTTCTTGAAAAGGAGTTGCTTGATGTCTCATTTCTATCATTTGGCATCAAAGCCAATTGATCTAGAGCTCATGTGCTTTGGAGAACTGAAACTTTGCCTCTCTTTCCTAGAGACCCATCCACCTACTTTATTGGGAGCCACGTAAGTCACTAGTTCAAGGCTTATGTCTATAGGTATGTGACATAGTATTTAAATTTACTAACAAGTCACACCTACACCAAAATCCCACCCAAAACAGCAACCTAACTTTCCATCCATCCATATTTTGAAGCTTCAATGATGAAACAAGCACCATCTATCTTTTGTATGATATCTTCCTAAAGGCTCCATGCCCCAATAAAATAATTCAGGAAATCCTTGAATAAGTTCAGCATATATATACACTTAGGAATGAATGTACGCTGCGAGCGAAGCACCTAAAAATTAGCTTGTGTTTGACTCGATATTTTTTGTGTGCATCTCAATTACTAGTTCCACTCATGCGTATCTCGTTCTCCATCATCGTGGTTTTTGAGCAGGAAAAAAATTTATATGGTTTTTGAAAGCCCATTTCACCCCCCACCTTCCCCCTTCTCAGGCATATGTGAAACCATCAATTGCAAGATCTTTAACCATAAATTCTTAAAATGTTTTAGGAGATGCCGAGAACTGAGAATACTAATGGGTTGGTTGCTGATTTTGACAATCAACAAAGGAGAATTAGGGTTAGGTCGAAATGTGGCTAAAGTTTGGGAATAGGAAAGTAAAAATTGGTGGAGGTGAATTGGGTAAGGGCGGATGCTAGGAAACCCTAGGGTAAGACATTAGGCTAGCTCTGATACCAAATAATACCCACAAAGAAAACTGAATTATTATTGCTGAATTTCAACCATTACAACCATGAATCCTGAAAATCCTAGGGTAGGACATTAGGCTAGCTCTGATGTGGCTAAAGTTAGGTCGAAATGTGGGGAGGGGATCTGGAAGGGGTCAAGGCAGTGTAAGTGAGGTGAGAGAGGTGCTGCTGTCCAACAGGGCTCCTCTAACATGGAATCGGGGTTGGAGGCAGGAAAACGGCTGGGTGAGGAGGCTTACAGGAAGGCGGGAGGAAGTGGCCTGTTTGTGGAGGCTGCATGCGGGCTGGAAGGGCGATCAGCAGCTACTCTGGTGTTAGCGGTAGTGGAGATGTAGGAAGGGGTAGGCAGGGTAACGAGATCGGCTGGGAACAAGGAATACGACAGGGAGGAAGGGAAGAAGCGGGTTGCAGGAATAGAAACGGGTGCAGGGAGTTGGCCGCCAGTAGGGGAAGAGAAGTGGGGGAAGGATTTGTAGACAACACCACCTTGGGAGAAAGTTATAGCCGATGCACCACCCTAACCGTCGATATTGGGGGGAAAATAGGATGCCAGTGGCTGTCCTCACAAACTGAAATAAGAAAATAACATAAGCTGAACCCTAACACTACAAATAACATATAAATTGAAGCTGGATGGGCGGGAAGTGAAAATAGGAAGGCGGGAATAATTCCCGCCCAATGAAAATAAGGGGTGGGGGCCGGTTTAGCTTCGGCTTGACCAAACCCTCTCCAGCTGACCTGGTTGGGGCCGGTTGAGCCCCGAAGCCCTACGTCACCAATTCCAACAAATTAAGAAAATCTAAAAGGAATAATTTCTCAAATATTTGTCATAAACTATTAATTCACAATTTTTTGTTTACATCAGAGACGAGTCGTGTGAATGCAAAATGTTTACCCTAATCATGTTCACTTGTTTTGCTTTCCCATTGTTTTGGATGCATGCAAGCATTAACGTTTTCTTTGTATGCAAGCATTAAAGTTCCACGTCATGCCCATGTCTGGACTACTTATTTTCAAGTAAAAGTTATACTGTTATTTCCATGTCAAGCTATCTTCGGCAATGTTGAATTTGTAGTTTTCTAAGTTTTGATGCTGTACAAATTTACTTGGTTGGTAATTCTTTTTGTCCCTAGTTTTAGAACATGCAGATTGTATTATTATTTAATGCTTTGCACTGTCCCATTCTACATATCCTTTTTAATTTTGTTTGAATATCTGTACGTTTGGTTTGGAAACAGAGATTAATATTTGATAAGCCACAAAACGGAGCGAGGAAAATAGTTCTTGCTACAAACATGGCTGAGACAAGTATCACAATCAATGATGTTGTTTTTGTTGTTGATTGTGGAAAGGCAAAAGAGACTTCGTATGATGCGTTGAACAATACCCCATGTTTGCTCCCAACATGGATCTCCAAGGCTTCTGCTCGACAGGTATTTCTGGTGCTAGTTTAGTTTTGCAAACAAACTTAACGGTTTAACGTTTCCTTTATCCAATAATTGTTCTATGGTTAATAACTTTTTTCAAAATCGAATCTTGGCTTAGATTGTATGGTAGTTTTGTCTTTCATTTTACTTGGTTAATGTTGTAGAGAAGAGGAAGAGCTGGGCGCGTCCAGCCCGGGGAATGTTACCATCTTTATCCAAAATGCGTGTATGAGGTTTTTGCAGACTACCAATTACCAGAACTTCTAAGAACACCTTTACAGTCTCTTTGTTTGCAAATCAAAAGCCTCAGGCTTGGAAGCATATCAGAATTCTTGTCTAGAGCTTTGCAATCTCCTGAAACATTATCTGTATGTCTGCTCTGCCTGTCTTGATACATCAATTATATTAACAAAGCAAAGTGCCAATCTTGGTTATTTTTAATTTCCATTTATTGTACATGTTTGTTGATATGATTACTCATTATATTTGAGCTCATTTTATCTGTTCGGACTCGTCACTTACTAGCTGGTTTGTTTTGTAGGTTCAAAATGCTATTGAATATCTGAAAGTTATTGGTGCGTTAGATGAGAAGCAGGAGCTAACCATTCTAGGTTTTTTCTCTTGTTCCGCTTATTAATTAGATGTTTGTTTTTATCAAATGATTAGACGCCATATTACTGTATTCTACTCATTTTTCAGGACGGCACCTGGCTATGCTGCCAGTTGAACCAAAACTTGGGAAGATGCTCATCTTTGGAGCTATTTTCAAATGCCTGGATCCCATATTGACTGTTGTTGCTGGTCTAAGTGTTAGAGATCCTTTCATTACTCCATTTGACAAGAAGGATGTAAGTAACATATATTTTGTACTCTCTTTCACGTTAACATTTTTTTGTTAACTAATTAAGTATAATCTTTTAAGCACGTGCTTCAAAGTGGAGTGAAATTGTGGTATGGTTTGCTGAAACCTGTGAAATTCCATGGATGATTCTATTAGTTTTCTTGGTTTTGATTTTAAGATTGTGGTCTTCATGTTTAGTCTTTTAACTATTTTTTTTTGAAGGGTGTGCATTTTTAAAATAACAAAAAATAAAAAAAGATTACAAAATAAACGCCCCAATATGCCCATACAAGAAGCCAAAAAACCTATGCCCCATGGGCATTTACAGAAGGGGCGATATCCGCTTGTAAAATGAAAAAAAGAGGGTCTTGTTCATGAAAATGACGCAAGACAAAATCACTATTAAGGGCTTTCTTCGCACAAGTATGGGCAGCTATGTTGTTATGTCTATTGGTATGAAGGAACAAAACTTGCTTGATATTAAGCAAGAAACTATTGTTAATTTTAACTATTTGGGGTTCTCAATTTTTTATTCCTTTACATTAATTGTCTTGGCATAAAAAACACATTCAGAATATATCTTGACATGAAGTCGATGTTGCTAAGTTGAAACTAATTGTTTATTTGAGTTTGTATTTTTTTATTTTGGCTATTTATCAGGAGATACTTTTCTTTCTGTGTTAGTCCTATGGAGATATGGATGGAAGAGAGCTAGGTTCTGCAATTCATACCAGGGTTGAAAATGACTTTATAATTTTCTTTTGAAAGCTGGATTCTCTATTCATTATTTCCTTGGGTGTTGATATGGTCTATATGTTTTTTTATTGCTTTTATTCCGCCACCCACCTCAATAGGAACTTGTTTGAGTTCTATTCATTAATCCATGCAATAGGATATTAGGCATCATGATGATTTCTTAGATCAATGGATAGCATTTCATCAAGTGAAAAACAAATTTCATGCATGAAAACTTAGTGATTAGAAATGGTTCCATCACAAGATCATGGGCTAGAAATCATCAAGCAAGATCAAAGGCTAGAGTTCATCAATCACAAGAAGTTTCAAATGATGATGAATTTCTAGGAACCATCACAGGATCAAGGGATATATATCACAAGCATGGGACGAATCAAATAAATAGAAATTATTGCTTAAATGTTATGAAAAAATTGTAATTAAATTTAATTTTGAATTTAAAGATTTAAATTTCAAAGTTTGTATTTTTGATTTTATGGTTTATTTTTCCTTTGTTTTAGAACATTTAGAATTTTTTTTTTTTGTTTTGCATGGTCAGCCATGGCCCTCTCCTTTGGTAAGAAATAAGAAGAAGCTGAATTAAGGACGTTAGTTTAGATAGTTTTAGCCACCTTACATAGTTATAATAGCTTTTAGCCTTAGTGACCCTTTGCATAATTAACTTATTAATACATGGCTGTTTTTATTGAAATTATTGGGCTTCAAAATCTTGCACAATTTTGTTGTAAAATAAAACCTTTTGCCCATAGGTTCTCTGTTTTTCAATTAGAAATTCAATGGCGCTTTTTTAATCCTTGAACAATTAAACTACCTGATTTGCATGATCAGTGGTCGCATGGTTGCTGGAAAATTGTGCAGCCAAATCTTGAGTGCCGGGCTGTAATTTCCAGTCAACATTTTTTTGGTTTAAGACCCTTGGAAGCAAGAATACTCACAATTGAAATCTCTCTTATATGACGTTGTGCTGTTCTAGTTCTCTTAACTGCTTGATTTGCTATTGAACATTTAAACTTCCTTTTTTTTCCGTATTGATTACTGTCAGGGCTGCTGGAATTTGCAACAGCACTCTTAATTCTGCACCAAAGTTTTGTTATACAGAAATCTTTCCCGACTGTACTAGGAGCACCACAGCATATTTGGAAGGGCTGGGCTATACAGTTGTTTGGAGGTTTATAGCCACCGTCTGAGCAGTTAACAACCTTTTTTTTTTCTGACTAAATTGTTCACCTCCATGCATTTAAAAACCAATTGGACAGCCAACTGGTTTGCAATATAGTGTCAATACTTTTGTATTTCTTATTTTTTTAGTTTCTAGTTTGATTGGAAATCCCTATTGACTAATTTCAGTAAGTCTTTCCTAGTATTTTGTTACAATTATCACACTTCCCCTCTTTTATCGTTATCACACGTCACACCTCCCCACTTTTTAGTGCCTAACATTTTCTCTATGGCTTTGAATTTTGAATTTCTTATGAATGATTATACTGCCTAAAATAATTACTGGAAGGATGAATGAAGAAAAAGAAATCTCACAATTATTTATCTTTCTATTGGAGTGTGCTGGGCGGTGTGATACCGGAGTTAGCCCAAACCACGACTCAGAAACGACATGTTTTATTACTAAATTATAACATGACTACAAGGACCACTCCTAGCACGTAAGAGTGCATAAACAGTGACACAAATACATAAATATCAAGTAAACAACACTAAAATAGTAAAAATAGAGCAATGCAGAAAATAGACTAAGCATAGTTCAGAAGAGGCTCTGGACCGCGCCAGAGAGCGGTAGCAAAGTCATCGGGGTGGCCGGTGAGAAGTTGCAGTGGCTGGACTGTCGTCAGAGTGACCGACGGTGACTGGAATGGTGCTAGGACAACTTGGAGAGGCTGACGACCCGCAGGAGGTAGCACCGAAGAGGATGAATGCGACGGGATGAGAGCTACGGAGTGATGCGGCGAACTTGGAGGAGTGCAGGACGGAGGTGCAATACTCAGGAGGGAGTTGGGAAGGGTCAGGGGGCCCGGTGGCTTACTGGAAGGGCGTTGGGGAAGGGATGCGACAACTGTAGTATGACAGAGAGGACTTGAACAATCTGCGGGAGATGCTGGACGGGCGAAAGTAGTGGAGTTAGATGTCGGGAGGAGAGGGTAAAACAGAGATACACATCGCCTTGGCGGGATACATCCATAGCGCCACCTTGTTGAAAGATACAACCTTAGACGAGGGGAAATCTCCAAGTAGGATCACCTGGAACAGGATAAAATTAGAAAACAAAAATTGTCCTCACCAAAGAAAATAACAAGCATAAATAGAGGAGGAAGGAAAGAGGTGCGGCGGGGGCGGTGAAGATTTGCTTTAATTGAGATTGAACTGTTCTGATTTAGTAGGCTGCTGGACCGGCTCAACAAGCCACGCCCTGCCGACGGGCGTGATTTGCCCGCTTGAAATGGCGTTGTTCCACATCAATCCCCCGAGGTTGGGGGAGTTTCAACGTTATTTGCCAAAGCTTCCCCTCTTAGTATGGAGTTAGATCGGCAACATTGAATGTTGTTGGAATTTTGTAGTCGCCTGGTAGGTCAAATTTTTAGGCATTGTCATTTAGTTTTTTAAGTTTGTGAAATGGTCTATCAACCTTGGGCTTGAGTTTTCCATGTTCTCCTACGGGAAATCGCCCTTTCTTAAGGCAGATCCACACAATATCTCCTTTAATGGTTACCTTCTTTCGGGTATTGTTGGTTTGTGCTTGATATTTGTGGTTTTGTTGAGAATTTTCTTTCCCAACGTCCTCCTGGAGTTGTTGAATTTGGGAATTTGCAGTCTGTAGCATCCTCGCTAATCTCTGTGGGGGGTAAGAGTGAGACCAACTCAAGGGTTGTGATTGTGTTGTAACCATACAAAATTTAGAATGGTGTGTCATGTGGTTTGGCTTGTTGATCTATTGTAGGTAAAATTGCCTTGAGCGAGAATGAGATCCCACTGTTTGATATTTTTTCCTACGAGACAGCATAGAAGATTGGTTGAGGTGTGTATAATCCAATATTTTGGTTGCGAGTTTTGGCGGTATGACAAATCTTATATTGTCGTACGTGTCGTTCAACATTTCGTGTTAGTTAGGGCCGAAAAAATGTTCTTTCATTAGTGTGAGAGTTTTATCAATGTCAAAATGGTCAGCTAATCCGTTACTATGGTTCATTTGGATGATAGCTTCACGTAGTGAGCATCGAAGAATGCATAATCTGTTGTGGCTGAACAAGCTGCCGTCCGTGTGGTAGAACTGCCCGTGAGTTTTCTCTCAACATTGTTCCCAGAGTTTCTGGAAGTCTTCATCGGTCCCGTATAAGACTTTTATAGCTTCAAAGCTTACGACGCGCGCATCCAAAAATGTGATCAGAAGATGACGACGACTCAGAGCGTCGGCGATGCGGCTCTAGTTTTCAGCTTTGTGTTTGAGAATAAATTGGAAGGACACTAAAAAATCTACCCAGGTAGCACGACGTCCTTTGAGTTTATTTTGACTGTTTAGAAATTTTAGAGTGGGTAATGACTCTAGAGTTCTAGAGCTTTAACGATGACATAAAATACTTTATTGTAAGTGGAATATTTGCGTCGAGTCTCATTGAGGTTTTTGTTGAAATAGACAATAGGGTGACCACCTTGACTTAGTACAACGCAAATGCCTACTATGGATGCCTGACATTCGATTTTGAAGGGTTGGTTGAAATCAGGTATGGCAAGAACTGGGGCTTGGGTGACTTTTTCCTTCAAGATGTTGAAACTGGTATGGGCTGTGATCGCTCATGTAAATTCCTTTTGTTTCAATAATTCGGTGAAGGGGCAGTGATAGTGATGAAGCTGCGAACAAATCTTCAGTAAAAGGAGGCTAGCCCCAAACATTGTTGAAGCTCGGTGAAAGATTGCGGTGCGATCTAGCTTACGATTGCTTCGATTTTTGTTGAGTTCATTTATGCTAGGCACAATGTAACCCAAAAAACAGATTTGTTTTGTGAGGAATTGATATTTCTTGGGATGAGCGTACAATTGTTCGGATCGTAAGACTTCGAATACCGCCCGTAGGTGTTGTAAGCAGTTTTTTTCAAATTTACTATAAACTAAGATATCATCGAAGCAGACCAATGGGGATTTCCTAATATTGAAAGACTTGATTCATGAGGCACATGAAGGTGCTGGGCGCGTTGGACAGGTCGAAAGCAATGACTGTCCATTCATAAAGGTCATCTCATGTTTTGA